GAGCACACATACACACACACAAATTCACATGCAAATATTTGTAACTTACTTCCTTTATGTTTGTTTTAAATTTGTTTTTATAATGAACACACTTTAAATTTTTAAAAATGTATTTTTATTTTCAAATGTGGGGAAGGAGTTGGGAAAAGCTCCTCGGTGTTGCATAAGATTAAGTTTTGTTCCAGTTTTAGTGTTTCTAGATTTAATTTGTATCATGTTAAAAAAAAGGGGGGGTGAAGAGGAGAGGACATTATTCCAAGTGAAATAGAAACAAGAAAAAAAGGTAGCAGAGAAGACAGAACAGCCAAGAGACACCCTCAGCTGTTCACAGACTTTCCAGGAACCCAAGGCCAAAGCATCCCAAGAATCCTTGGGAAAGGAGGCTCCCGGTGGTGATCTAAGATAAAAGCATGTGTAGCTCATCAACAATGCACTTCTAAAAACATCATGCTGATGTGAAAAGGGCCAGACATAAATGCCAACATACTATACAATTCCAGTTATGAAAATACAAGGCAAAATCAACTGTGAAAGAAATGGAATCAGTTGTCAGGATAGCCAGTGAAGATCCAAACTGGCTGGAGAGGTAGGGAAGAGCATCCCATGGGAGTTGGGTAGCATGGGGTATGGTACACATCTGCAAGATTCAGTATAAGTGCACTTAAGATCTGCACATTTCAAGACAGGTTTACAAGAAATGAAAACACTTCAAATAAATACCCAGCTGTAGTTAGGGATGTGTGGACTCAAGTGTTTAGGAATAGGACATATTGGTGTCTTCAACTGCAAAGTGTATCCAGTAAAAAATGCATTTCAGAATAGAAAGAGAAGGATAGGTGGACAGACAAGCAGAAAAGTAAATTCAATCTAAAATGAATGAATGACAGAATGATGGACATGGATGTCTAGATTTCTTATGAACTTGCTGTAATTTTAAACTATTTTGTAATAAAATGAAGGACAAATGCCCCCAGATACTGTCTACCCTTTCCTCCCTCTCTCCCCATCTGCCCTCTGCCTTCCCCTAGTCTCCAAGTAGGAATATTTTGACCATGGGCTCCACAAGACTAGAGTTGGCAGAGCAAGTAGCTTTGTTTAAACTTGAGAAGGACTTGATTCCTGGCCATAACGAAGGAGACCAGCACAATGGCAGTAGGAGAGAGCAGCACCTTAACTCCAAACATAATACTAAAAGCAGAGAATTATAGGCAAGAAGCTGACTAGGAGGGATTGAGGGATGGAAAAGTCTGAAAGACATTCATTAGTAGGGCTTTCTAGCTAATGGGACTAAGATTTTGAGTAAAAACAATACAGGAACATTGAAAGAGGATAAAAACTACATACTGATGGTCAGGTATAAAGAGTGAAGTCTCTATGAACTGACTTAGCAGGATTCTTTGCTGAGCCTGAGCACTCCTCCAGGCTTGGTACCATCTAAACAGGGAGTCACAGCCTGATAGAGAAGGGCACAGCAAAGAAGGGTCTTCAATGCTGTATCCAGGCATCTAAAGGTAAAGGAGTCAAGGGTACTGTAGAGAGGACAGGGTTGCCCTGGTGACCTCAGACCTCTAGCCCCAACATTCAGGAATCCACTGAGCATGTCTGAGGTAGGGCAGGAGTTATTTTCTCTGATATCCTGAAAAAAGGAACCAAGGTTCAGTTGCACAGCACTGAGAGGCAGACCACCAGCCTGTCCTGTGGGTTAGGCAGAACTTCTGACCAGCTGGGAATCAATCCTGAAAGGGGATTGCTCAACTCAAGCCAGCCATTCTGTTTTCCTCTTGATGAGAGCTTGTAAACTGAAGCCCAGAAAGATGGGTGGAGCAGCCTGCTGCCCAGCCAGCTGCCTGTGTCCCCAGAAGTCCTTTCCCTATGTCTCTCCAGTAGGCTGAAGTATATTTGTCACTGCCTCTACTCTTGTAAATAGTCTGAGAATAAGAATCAACCTGAACTCAAGACTAGCAGAGTATCTACCTTCCTGTGAGTGGTAAAACAGTCAGATAGAAAAGACTAGGCACTGCTCACCCACATCTCTCTACATGGAATGCATCACAGTTTCCAGTGATGAGTTATCAACCCCACCCCAGCCCTAACACTGGACTAAAGGGAGCAGATGGCCTGGAAGCACCTATCTTATCATGAGTTGGTAATAAGAAAAAGAGAGAAGGGAGAGAATACAAAAGTGTGTGCACAGGGGACTTCAGAGCTCATCCTCAAAGAACCCCAGGGAACTCCATAAGGGAAGCTTCAAGCTTTCCTATTATAAGAGGGAGACCAGAAAACCTATGACTTGATAACTCTAAACAGCTAACATAGATGCTGTACTCCTCCTAATAGTTCATACCTTGAGTATTCAGGATCTCAACTCTCAATCTATTTGTTCTTGTCTCTTGCAACACTAGGTGGTGTTTTATCTGTTTAGCCACTGATCGAAAAATACCATTATTTCAATCCACTATTTTTTGCTTGTTTGCTTATGTGTGATACTTGGAATTAAACCTAGGGCCTCACACATGGTAAGTAAGCCCTCTACCACTGAGCTACATCTATGGCATTCTTCTTTCTTTATGTTTTGAGATAGGTTCTCACTTTGTAGCTCCTGCTTCACCCTCCTCAATAGCTGGGATTATAGGCCTGCCCCACCAGATCCAGGGAATATCTACCTATTATTACAGAGACTTTCTATCACCCCTTCACCTCCTCTCTAGTTCAGATCAGGAAACCAGCAGCCACATAAGAAGAGGACAGGCTCCCTGAGTCTCCTCTGTCAGAAGGAGTCATGTTTCTCTCCTGGACAGATGGTCTCCTGTATATTGCATGCAGCCCTTTGCTTCCTGTTTTTTTTTTTTTTTTTTTTTTTCAGGATGTCTAGGATGTCTGTAGCTTATCTTGAAGCTGCAGGCCCCAGGACACAAACTGTTCTTTCATGCTGAGCTGTGATCACTGAAGCCTGTCACCTCTCTGCCACTTACAGCCCTGCCTCCTAGTGAGTTAGATGAAGAATAAGCAGACTCTTTGCCCGAGTTGTCTCACCTTCCACCTCTTACTGCACCTGACTTGAAGCAGCCCTTACAGTTCCTAAAAGAATGCTGCAGTAGTGTCTGACCCTTGGGGAATCAGTGGTGCTACTCACAGGTCACCTACTCTCCCAAATGAATCTGAGCCAACCTTATAATAGAGATACAACAGGCATATGGTCACAGATGTCAACATGTGTACCGCTTCTCTCCAACATGTTCCCATCCACATTAGTCCACCCTGGACCTTCTTTCTAGTGAGAAATGATGGGATAAGGAGGATTCCCCCTGTTTCAACTCACTCTATGTAAAACAATAATCCTGAGAGTTCCCACAAAACTCCAATGTCTGTCCAGCATTCTGCTCAGAGAGACCTGGCCAGATGCACCCCTCTTTCCTGTCTGTCTGTCTGTCTGTCTGTTTTCCTTTTCCTATTTATCTAGGAAATTATCACATACAAGTGTGACAATTTCCAATTTACAAATGACAATTGCCATTCTTGCCTTGGGTGCTTTACCTAGGGGGGCAACATGAACATTACATTACTACTCTGGCACTCATTTCGGGGAAAGGTTGTAGCAATGTCGCAGGGTCCCCTATTCTAACCCTTAACATAAATACTCATTAGTAATATTGTTAGTATCTGTTAGATTCCTGCTGATAGGGTCTAATCCAGAGCCCAGACCCAAGATCAGAGCAGAGATGACACTAAGTTACCAGTACCTACCACCTCCAACATAATCCTCTGTAGCTGCCCAGTGGCCACGGACAAACTGGGTTAACTTGAAAGGAGGGCTGGAAATGAAAAAGAGATGGGGAGGGGGGTGAGGGAGAGGAAACATGGAGCCAAGACAAAGTTCTCTGATCAAGGTTCAAAGTTTAATATTCAGCTCTTGTATATATAGGGAAAGCCCCACCTAACCCATCCTTTGTTTCAGCCGGATTATGGGATTATGTCACTGATTACATCACAAATCAAGGTCAGTTTGCAGTCTATTCTAAGTTAATGTAGGAATCTGCACATGCAGCCAGGGTGGATGATTTCACTTAGGTCACAAGGTCTTTCTGGCCTGCTCAAGGCTACAGATGTAGACCAAGTTGGTCTTGAACTAACACAGATCTACCTGCTTCTGCCTTCCATGTGCTGGAATTAAAAACATGAGCCATCACACCCAGCCTCATACTGTAGTTTTTAACCTGCTTATTAGAAAGCATAAAAGACATCTTACATCGATGTACTTCGCAGCCTGTTGCAATATTCATTCAGGGCTTGGCCACCTGTGGTGTCTCCAGTCCTTAGAGTGGCCCAGCCCAGGAAGAAGCCTAGGATAGTTTCTTTAAGGATAATGAGTAGTTACACAGAATGCCACATACTTCCCCACTCCCCCAAGACCAATTCATATTCCTTTGACAAATATCTTAGGGCAGGGCCTGTAGGAAACTGAAATAACAGACCCGCTCAGAGCATCCCCAGATAATGACACTGCTCTCTCAAGTGCTCAAGGCTGAACTCTGAAGATCCAGGAAATTAAAGACTGGTTGCCCTTTTTCTTTCTGGAGAAACAGGGTTCAGATGTCACGGGCATTTTAGGGTCCAGACAACAAAGATTTCTCTGTTGAAACCAAACTGCATGAAACAGGGAACTTGGAGTGAAAGGGGAAGCTGTGAAAGAAGGCCCTGAAGAAAAGGAACTGGTAAGAACAGAAAGCTAAGAGTGCAGAAGGAAGGGAGAGATGGGACTGGAGTCGGGGGTTGAGGAGAGAGGAGGCTCAGCGGGGGATGGACAGGGAAGTGGGAATGGGAGTTGGGCAGCTCTTGAAGAGGTTTCTGACTTACAAGGCAATAACATACTAGAAACTGACTGAAGAGGGCGGGGCAGTTCGGAGGAGGCGGTGCCGGGAGTAGGGCTAGAGGGCAGACGGAAAAGGGAGGGTGGCCGCCGGAAAAGGAGGAGCCAGGGCTGGTTCCGAACTCTCACAATTGGATAAAAGCCGACTATGTGAGCCACTTCTGTTCTGCACTAACGCAGGGTAGTGTTGGAGCTCCATCCCTTTACCCTAGCCAACCATGGCCAGCCCTCTGCGTTCCTCGCTGCTCCTGCTGGCCGTCTTGGCCATGGCCTGGGCTGCGACCCCCAAACAAGGCCCGCGAATGTTGGGAGCCCCGGAGGAGGCAGATGCCAACGAAGAAGGCGTGCAGCGAGCGTTGGACTTCGCCATGAGCGAGTACAACAAGGGCAACAACGATGCATACCACAGCCGCGTCATACAGGTGAAGAGAGCTCAAAAGCAGGTACGTGTCCCGGCTGTCCCCATCTCTCCGGATGTCTCCAGGCCGATCCTACCCAGGCGCCCCTAGCTAGGGCGCGGTTTGCATCTGACTTAGTCAATGCCTGTACTTCTCATGGGAGCGATCCTCCCCCTTCCCTTCTTCTCAGCCCTCCTCAATCTGTTAACAGAGTTATTCCTCGTTTGTTTATTCTGCAACCCAGAAGAGCACGGCGGGTGGGTACCTGGCCTCCTAGCTCTATTTCCAAAAGGCCACCGTGCGTAGATACCAAAGATACTCCCGGCCCTGCCTCCTCCGAACTGCCCCGCCCTCTTCAGTCAGTTTCTAGTCTGTTCTTGCTTTGTAAGAACCTCTTCAAGAGCTGCCCAACTCAACTCCGGTTAGCACTCCCTCGCCCATCCTCCGCTGATCCTCTCCCCCCCCCCCACCCTCCCGCCTCCCGCCTCCCGCCTCCCACCTCAGTCCCATCTCTCCCTTCCTTCTGCACTCTTAGCTTTCTGTTCTTCCCAGAGGCTCCCTGGGCAGAGCTCACCACCATCAGCCGCCAGGGGTCAAATGTCAACTGCTAATGACCTGGGAGAAGGATAAACAGGCTTCACAGCTGCCCTCACTTAATAAGCGCCCTTCTTGAAACTTATTCTGACAGACACAGACAGATATCATCCCATCCTTCCAGTAAACGCTTGGTCATGTTTGTTCCGACCTCTTTGCTCTACTCAGGAACACATGTTCCTGGGTGTGTGTTTATATTCCTTTGTTTTTGTGAATACTTTCAGAGTAAACACTTCCTGAAAACAAGGGCATTCTCTGCCTACCCAACACTTAGTTCCTTCACTCAAAGCTTAGTTTGCTGGTCTTCATTATGAACTCTCCCTAGCAAGGGCTATTTCTCTCCAGTCTGGCAGCCTGTTTTTCTCTGAGCAGTGCCTGCGCTGCCTTGCTGTTCTTAGCAATGTGGAATGGTCCAGACAGCTGTGGTGATCAGTCCTGTGTCACATGATGAGGTTCCCTTCAGTCATGACTGTGTTGGGGTGGTCCTCAAAAGTAAATGGCCCTGTGATGCTGCAGCCATATTAGCTTGTACATGTGCTTTTTGGTTCTCTGTAGTGTCTCCAGAGCACATGTCTCAGGAGGGGCCCCTATCCTTAAGGAATATGTGACTGTGTATACTGGTGCTGAGTCTCTTGACTATCACCAGGCAGGTCCCTCCTTGGGTCTTCTCAGAAGGTGCTGTCTAGCTGTTCTGGGAAACCTTGCTTCCCTCTACATGTGGTCCTGGAATATCCTTGGGAACAGCCTCAGGGGTTTTGCTAATTGCCCCCAAGATAGCATAAATCACCCTCCACTCACTGAGTAGATGGAGACTACCTTAGACTTAGACTCTGACAGGAGCTAGCAGCAAGAGCTGCTAGACACCAAAGTTGACACAAAGGAGGGCCAGATTTTAGACCACGAAGGATTGTACACTAGTGTGCAGAGCTCATGTCTACCTTCTCTTGAAAATACAAGTTAAATCTTGCTCCATTTCTCCTGCTGCCTCTGATCAACCTTCAGAAAAGTCGTCCACTCCCCAGCTGCCTTGGACCTTAGTGGCCAGTGCAACCTTTAATTGTGGCAACGGATGGAGCAAAGTGTAGGGAGTTGGAGTTTATTTGGTCTGTGGGTCTCACTTAACTGGTAGGAAAATCAGGACATCCCCCAAATCAAGAACAATGTTTCTGGTCCTGCACGGCAATACACAGAGCCCTGGTCCCCAACCCAGGTCCCTTACTGTGTGCGTCACATTTCTGACCAATTGGTCTGGTGTGCCCAATCATGGCCAGAGGGATAAGTGCTATTCTTAAATTGCAAATGGAAGACCTACAGGCGAATGACATGCTTGAGAAAATTCTGAAGAATCTTACTGAAGCAGAAGACATTTATGGGCTGTCTTTCATCTGACTTGAAACATCCCTATGTGTGAAGCATCCCATGTCCTCTTGTCCCTGGAGAGAGGGAGTCTTGGATAAATAAATGTGTTCTATCTAGGCTGCATACTATCAATGGGAAAGGTCTGGTTTTCCTACAGTGATACAGTGTCTGAGCGTGAGGAGCCACAGTCAGCAGGATTGAGTTAATCTCACGATGCAGCCCAGAGCCTTTGCTTATGAATCAGAACAATCCTAGACTCCAAGAACATCTTGGAGGTCTTTCCCCAGACCTGGTCCTTCCCTTTCTGACTCACTGAAAGTTTTGTTGGTCCTAGCTTTTACCTTTTGTGTTCTGCTTCTTCTCTTACTCAGCTACATATGACACCTTGTCAGACTTGCTCAAAATAAAAGAATTACCAGCAGAGCCTGAGGCCATTTGTCTGGAAGATTTAGCTTGTATCCTCTGTAGGTGAGATTTCTGGCTGCTTATGAATCCAGGCAAAAGTCCTAGGTAAACACTTAAGTCTGTGATGGAAGGCAACTGTTTGACTAGACTCTTGAATCCTGCCCTTTTCGCTGTAGCTCGTGGCTGGAGTGAACTATCTTTTGGAGGTGGAGATTGGCCGAACCACATGTACCAAGTCCCAGCCAAATTTGTCTGACTGTCCTTTCCATGACCAGCCCCATCTGATGAGGGTATGTACTTGATGTGGGCCTAAGGGCAATCATGCAGGCAAAGGTGTTGAGAAGTATTACATTGTGTGGGGAAGGGCGTGAGAAGGGAATGGTGGTTCATGAATGGATACAGGTGGATGTTGGGCACAAGTATGTTCATGCCAATGCAGATGTGTGCCCATGTAGGGGAGGGGTTTATGTGCACATGACTGATTTAATTGCTGAAAGAATTTATCCTGGGAATTGGGGTATTGATGTACAGTTATCCCCACTGAGTTAGAGGCAACTGTGAGTATTCTTGCTGGGGAGAAAGGCTCTGTTTAATCCTGACCAGAGCCACCTGCCAAGACCACATGAAAGAGAACAGAACCTATTGACTGAAAGCTTCTGTGCCTCTTCTGCCATGACTGCAGGCTCTTTGTGGTGTAATTGGTTCATGTGACACCATGGTTATGGTGATAGCTACATTTCCCTTATCACCCTATAATACCTTGCCACTTTTAGAGGTGTGTGCCATGCAGGCAAAGGTGTTGATAAGTATTACATTGTGTGGGGAAGGGCACGAGAAGGGAATGGCGGTCCATAAACGGATACAGGTGGCTCTCTTAATACTTAGGTAGTGGGCTCATGGGCCCTGAGCCTTCTCCACTGCCTTGACCTCTAGGGCTCCCACACCTTACACAGGCTACTCTTTAACCTGCTGTGCCAGGACTGAAGAATATAAACTTGTGGTGCCAAGAAAGGGGACATATGCCATCCAATAATAGGGATGATCAAACCCTAAGTGTCCTGGGACCTGGAAGGGGGAAAGGTTTCACTTCCATCATCCTGGTGTGGGTGCTTGTCTTAGCTTCACACTAATTGTTCCTCTTTGTTTCCTTTTGCAGAAGGCACTCTGCTTCTTCCAGATCTACAGCGTGCCCTGGAAAGGCACACACTCCCTGACAAAATTCAACTGCAAAAACGCCTAAAGGCTGAGTCTCAAGGATCATGCCGATTGTCCCTTACTCATACTCCTTCCCTAACTCCTTCCCTATAGTGTTTCATCCCTCAGAAGGGTGCTCCAGCTCTGGAGGGCACATCCAGTGTGTTTGCACCAGGAGACAGTACAGCAGCTGCTTCAGGCAGGTTCTGTACATCTGAACAGCTGTCCCCTGGTTCCACTCTTCTTGCAGTACCTGTCATGCTTTGCTCAATTAAAAAATTAAAAAAAAAATAATCTGGCTCTGTCTGAGTTGTTTCTGTCTCAGGATATGCAGCAAGGAAAACCAGAAAACAGGAGGGGTGTGTGTGTGTGTGTGTGTGTGTGTGTGTGTGTGTGTGTGTGTGTGAAACTAACAGCAAGCATCCAGGCAGAGCAACAACCCAGTACCATAGTACTGAGGCCACTGGGGCCAATGGTGTGACAGGGATACTCCCAGCCCTTCTATGCCCTGACATAATACAAGTCTTTTCGTGCAGCTTCATGGGGAGATTTTAACACAAATGGAACTGACATAAGATCAATTCCAACTTCCAAGCAGGGAGTTTTAGTTAATAACATCACCTTAGTGTCATGGTTGCATACAAAGGGGAGACTACAGGCTTGTATAAAACGCAAGTCCTCACAGCCTATGGATCAATGTACATCCACATGTCATTCAATGCAAAAGGGAGCAGCCAAGCTACTGGGGCCTGTGTTCAAATCCTAAAAGTGGTCAGAGCTGCATTAGGAAGCTGTCTTCAGGCCACTGGCCTGAACACTAAAAGGCAGTGGAGGTCCTTCAGTGAAAGTCAAAGCAGAGCGTAAATGGAAGGTAGAGCCTCCCTTCCTTGGTGCTCTATTTTCTGCCTTGTAGGCAGGGCCTTCTTCATCTGATACTAATAAATTAACGTCCTTGAGTTGAGAGAAGGGAAGTCTCAACTAGAGGGTCAAGACCTGAGTCTAGGCAGGGTTGGAGAGTTAGTGACCTTATTGTCCAGGGCCTTCAGAAAAGTGGTTGTCACAGTAAAAAAGGGTCTTGGATATTGTGACAGATTTACTACTTAGTCCTGAAGTTCACTGGTGGTCCTGGCATTGAGGTGTGGGGTCTTCTGTCTTCTGCTTCTTGATTCTGGATGGTGTGAGACTCTTACCAGCTCATGAAGAAAGTGAACTTCATGGCAAAACCAAGAAAGGTGCAAAGCTCCTGCTAAGCTTTCCTGGACCCAACCTAGGGGAAGCAAGGCTCCTCTGAAGGTAAGTCCATCTTCCCCAAAGCCATGGGGCCATGTGGTGACAGCCACAGGCATTATACAGCTGGCCCTTTCTGATACTTGGTCCACAACATAATAAGCATAATAAGCATGTTGAAATGTTATCAATGAGTGTGAAAGCAAGTCACAGAAATAATATCTAGGGCCTCTCTCTCTCTCTCTCTCTCTCTCTCTCTCTCTCTCTCTCTCTCTCTCTATTGACTAAAGGGTGAAGCTCAGCACATCTGGAAGCTGCTTTCCTGGACATATGTGCCCTAGCTCTGTGACCTGAGTCATCTCCTGTACTCACCTTGTTCTGTGAAGTAAAAACTGTAATAGTACCTCTTGGAATTTATGAGAATTAATTATTGTTATCTAGACATTTTATAGTATAGTGCAGTATAATATATGACCTTTATTGTAAAGTACATATTAACCCAGTCAGAATGTTCATAAAATTTGCTTCAATGACCTATTTTTTCAAAATATTTTTAATTATTTTTGTTTTTTTTTATTTATTTTTAAAACTTTTTACACAATACATTTTGCTCATATTCTTTTCCTTCCCTCACCTCCATAACTCCCAAGCCTCACAAACTTCACCAATTTCATAGTCTTTATCTCTTAAAAGAAGAAATTAAAAAAAATACCCAAACATGGAAAAAAAAACTAAAAATCCCAAACACGCACACAGATTCCCCCCCTACACACAACACAGACAAAAACACTCATGCTTACAAACCACACACACACACCACACACATACACCATATTCACACCACACACATACACACCATGCTTTCTTTGAAATGCCATTGAGTTCACATCCAAAGATCGTTGCCATTTTACTCTAGTCTATCATGTTTTTACCTTATTTTCTCACTGATTTCACTTTCCCTCAGTATATTCCATTTCTCCACTGCCTTCTTTCTTTCTACCTCCTTTAAGAAGTTCACTGGGTCCTCAGTAGAAAATCCTAGCACATTCCAGATTTTTCCACTCCCAGATAGACACTCAGATAACAGAGCTCCCTAGAACAACATCTGTCCTTTTAAGAGTCCTTTGATCCTAAACAGTAGCATTTGTCTGAAATCTAGGCCACTAAGGGAACTTGTTACACTTCCTGGATTGACACTGGCAGGCAGTGATGCTGATGAATGTGTTCCCATTACCCTGTGCTTCTGGGACTGTCATACTAATCATGGCAGTGGCATCAACAACTCTAAAGAGGCTGTCTTACAGTCACCAAGGCCCCACCTTATAATGACAGTCTGTCCTGAGCAGATTCACACTCCTGGCTTCCCCTGTCCTTGTGTCTGGAGCATTGACTTGACCCAGCAGTCAGGAAAGCCCATCCTTAGCCTAGTTTTGTATAGCTCTTGTGTATCTCAGTGACTGTCCTGGGCTGGCACCTTGCCCAAGTTGTATTCTTAAAACTCTCCAGTGATTCATAACAGTTTAGTCAAATTCAATTGTGAAAAAGCAGCCTATACACACACCTACACATTCAGTTCATACACCGGATACACAATTCATATCCAGAATACATAAAGAGTGTTAAAAACAAGTAAGATGTTGCCTTTTAAAAAGATGCTACCATGAGAAAATGAAGACAATCTCATTTTCAAGTTAAGCAAGTTAATTTAAAAAAAAAACCAACACAACCCAATTAAAATTGTAAAAAAGTCTCAATGGACATATCTCTAAAGAGGATATGCAAAACATATTGACACATACATTAAAACTTACCATAAATCTGAGGATAAGGTAAGTTAAAAGCATCTGTTGCCACTTCATACTTATGCTATCATCAAAAAAAAAAGAGAAATTAACAAACAGGAACCCCAACCCAGCTGGTGAGGTTGGTGAAAATGATTTGGAAAACCACTTGGTATATCCTCAAAGCATCCCATAAGCCGAACAATTTTACACCTGTTTATATAGCCAATATAAATGGTGTAAAATGACTGTACTCTCAAACTTGTACAAGCCTTCTTCTAGCTATGCTACTCATAATAACAGAAATAAAGGGAAATAACCTAGGGCTAGAGTGATGGCTCAGTGTTTAAATGTGATTAATTAAGGCTGCTTTCCCACTTGAAATTTAGAATCCATTGTGGGACGACACATTGGCCTATTTTCAATATCATGTCCCAGAGAGATAAAGGAGACCTGAGAAGGTCCAGCAAGACTAGGAAAGAATCAACTTGTGGAGCTGTGTTGACATTGTCAAGCTGGGTCTGATGCCACAAAACTGTAGTTTCAGCTATTTGGGAAGTTTAGGGTGGAGGAGTTCAAATTCAAGTCTAGCCTAGACAATTCACTGAGAACCTCCCTCAAAATAAAAACTTAGAAATGGCTGGAGACATAGCTGAGTGGTAGAATTCTTGTACAGCATGTACATGGCCCAAGCTCAACCCTAGTACACATATACACAAAATATACAAAATCATAATACCACATGGTACTGTACTAGTCTCATTTCAGTTGTGACAAAATATTATGGGACAACCTGATTTAGGCAATCCTTCATTGAGACTCTGTATCCAAGTAATTCTTCATCATGTCGAGTTGACAATTAAAACATCAAAACAATTACATCAGCACCATCTGTAGGTTATAACCCTAGATCACAGAGCACCATAACTAATGCAGAAGTTAGAAATACTACGAAAATTATAAGAATGTGGCACAAAGCCAGGAAGAGATCACATTGCAAAAGTGACACCTGTAGATTTGCTCAATGTATAGTTAGCTCAAACCTTTGATTTGAAAAAAAGAGAGAAAGCAGTATTTGTGAACGGCAATATAGCAAAAGACAATAAAAGTGTCATTTATGCTTATACAAAGTGGACAGGTGAAATGTGCATGGGGTGGGTCTGGGAAAAGAACATGAGCTCCCATGCTCTTTCTATTCTTCCATCTCCAGCCCTACTTCCCACACGTGGAAAGGCTAGGGCCCTCTTTTGGAGAACATTTTTGAAGATTCATTGCATATACACAGTCACCCACAGTTAGTTAAGGTTTCTATTTCTGTGATAAAGCATCATGATCATAGTAGATTAAGGATGAAAGGTTTTATTTCAGCTGACAGTGTGTACTCCATCATCCAAAGGGAGTCAGAGCAGCAACTCAATGCAGGAACCTAGAGACAGGGACTGATGCAGAGGCCATGGAGGAGTTCTGTTTATTGGCATGCTCCTCATGATTTGTTCAGCTTGCTTTCTTATCCCATCCAGGACTACCCACCCAGAGAGATGTGCTTACTTAATTACATCAATCATCATCTTAGTCAGTGTTCTGTTGCTGCGAAGAGATGCCATGACCACAGCAACTCATGTATATAAACAAACAAACAAACAAACAAACATTTAATTGGGCTTGCTTACACTTTCAGAATTTTAGTCCATTATCATCATAGCAGCAGTCTGGTAGACATGGTGCTGGAGAAGTTCAGAGTTCTATATCCAGATTTACAGGCAACGGGAAGATTCACAGGAAGAGAAAAAGCCTCTGGACTTGGTTTGGGCCCTTGAATCTGCAAAGCCCATCCTCAGTGACACACTTCCTCCAACAAGGCTACATGTCTTGATCCTTTTAATAGTACCACTCTCTATAAGCCTATGGGGGCCATTTTCATTCAAACCACCATAGTCATTAAGCAAGTAAATGTACTTCAGGTTTGCCCACAGGACAATGTGGTGGAGGTATTTTCTCAATTGAAGTTCCCTCTTCCAAAATGATTCTAGGCTGTGTTGAGTTGGCATAAAAACTAGCCAACATATGTGGAGAAATGCAACTGGGAAAGAGGAATCTGAGTTAGTGCTAATATGCTAATAGATCAAATGAAGAACCCAACAAAAGGAAAAGGTTTGTCTAGACTCATCCTCTCTCTTCATCTGCCCTGCTCTGAATGAGTAGGGCAGGATACTTTCTACAATGGGAGTCCTGTTATGTGTTAAGTGAGGCAATCCAGAGAACTTTTCTTTGGAGTCTCACTAAGTTTCCTGT